TTCAACTCTGTTATTCTATTCTATCCTATCACCTTTAAATGTGAGATAAACAAAATCACTTTAAACAAAACCTCTCATCCAAGAAGCTTCATTGGTTTTGGCAGGATGGAGAGGGCTAAGGGGGTGGTAGTTTTAACAGGATGGAGGGTTGGAAGGATCAGATTTATTTGCAGTCATCTGGTCTTAGCATTCTCCCTGAGAGCTCTTTGGGCCACCTGTATCAGAGTACAAATGGGGGTGAAAGCTTCTCGGAAATGCTGAAAGGAACCCACTAGAAAGCTAAGTTCAGTGGCGACTTTGTATTCATTAGGAGAATCTAGATAAAGGCCATCTTCCTCCCTCCCTCCCTCCTTCCTTCCTTCCTTCCTTCCTTCCTTCCTTCCTTCCTTCCATCTTTCCTTCCTTCTTTCCTTCTTCTGTGACAGCTGATATTCTACTACACTGTCCACTGTCCTAATTCCTGTAGGAAAATACTGAATACTCATTATCTTACATTAAAAAGTGCTTGAAAGGTGACCTTTTGAGTCCACAAAGATACCATGTGAGAAGAGTAGGAGTCACAGAACATTGCTTCCTCCCTCTTTTTTCCTTCCCTTATATGTAATATAGCGAAGCAGATGAAAGCATACTCTTCTTGACTTTTTACCCTGTTACACATGATACATGACTGGCTTCTTCAAACATTCCAGAATTAAATACATCTCTATGAAATCATACCTTGAATGTACTACTGACTTCTTTACTTGAGAGACATATGATTGAAATAGGGACTGACATAACATTTATACATCTGCATTTTCATCTTAGGGAAAAAATGAAATGGTTGAAGATTTTGAGTCACTCTAAATGAAGCATGCTATTTAAAACATTTGTGATTATTGATCATTGGCTTTTTTCAACCCTTGCAGAGTTTTTTTGGGAACAAATCTTTCTAAGATATCCTCAAAATAAAGTAAATTAGTTATTCTGAATGGTGTAGGTGGTTGCAGATTTTGCCAGAAAAAGAGCTGACATCTGAAGAAATAGAATTGGACAAATAGTGCAACCTAATATTACGTACAAAGAAAAATATTATTTACAAATCCAGGCTGCATGTATGTACAGAATAATATAAAAATATAAAATACAAAATCAAGTCTTAACCTAACAATTGTCCAATTCTATTTCTCCAGGTGTTTTCAAAACAGGTTTAGTCTCTGTCACGTATTATGTTATCTAAAAGAAAGATATTGATCAGCTACATCAAGAAAATTGCCAGGTTGCCTATAGTTCAGTGGTAATTATGTCCCTTATGAATTACTGAAATCACTCCAATAGGGAGGAAGAAACAATCCATATAAAAAGTTCAAGAGCCACAGGGTGGCAGGAATTGGTAATGCTGATTGTGTGAGCTTCACTTCCACAAATTTGCTTCCTTCTGTCTTCTCTGCCAGAACTTCACTTTGAAAGATAGACCCAGACATTTTCTTCATTTGCAGAAAGTCATGAAGTTACTCCTTCTGGTATTCCTGTTGAACAAAATAGTTACTCTGAGCTGCCCTGCCAGTCATCCTTTCCTTGTTCCACATGACTGGTACCAGCCTGGTGACCTCATCATTGGTGGGATGGTGTCTCAAATTGTTTACTTCTTTTTTGAAATTAAATTTAAGGAGCATCCGTCTTTAAAAGGTTATGGTTTACCACTGTAAGGGTTCTTTTTTCTTCCCAAGTAGTTTCTAATCTTAATCAGATCCTCCAAAACGTATATACGTAGAAGCTGTTTGAACATAAATGCCATTTTTTGTATGTTATCTAAGTCATTTTATCTTGGAAATCTATTTGGATGTTAGAGAAGAAATAATTTCCTTTATATTATGTTAAAGTCTTTCTTGTAAAATGTATGAAACTATGTTGCAAGAAGTCTTTTGAAGAACATTTAGTGAGATTAAAGTATTTTTTAAAAGGTCTATGTTATCTATTCATATTCAGTTTTGTGTTAAGTGGATAGAAAATAAAGTGGTAGCTTGAAAAAAAGCTATTGTTTTTATATTGTTATAGTACATTTGTATATTTGAATTCTGTACTAATTATTGAGTGTTTTGGAAAACCTGACATCTATCTACCTGAGTAAGAGACAAAAATTCTTCTTCTTCATATAGAAATGTTGCCACCTTACAAGAATTATATATATATATATTTCTAATGGGGGTATTTAACCTATTTGCAGTGTAATAACCAAATTCTATCAGCACATCCTTGCCTTGGCTTTTGCTGTGAAGGAGATCAATGAGGACCCCCAAATCTTACCTAACATCACTCTTGGGTTCCACATCTATGATAGTTACCACAATCCAAGGATGACCTACCGCACCACTCTGGACCTGCTTTTCAAATCCCAGGAATTTGTCCCTAACTACAAATGTGATAGCCGGAAGCATCTCATGGCCATCATAGGAGGATTAGGTTCGGATACATCATCTTATATGGCAGATAGTGTAAATGTCTACAAAATTCCACAGGTAGTTTGGGCAGGGGATGTGAGAGAAACTTTGCCTTTTTTTCTAATGAAAGTTATATATTAGATGTTTGCCATGCCTTTCTGCCAGACTTTATTGTCTTTATTAGGATCTGATAATAATAGTTTACTAGAAAACTAAATGTTTTTTTCCAGAATTTTTGGATGATTGCTGCTTTATGGTCCTTTTGGGGATCTGTATATATAAAAAGCAATAAAGGAGAACACACTTAACTTTTTCCATTTCTGTAGAATCTCATGGATAGTCTTTCACATTTAAGTATTTTATTGAATAAGTCTACTTCTAAGGAACATAGAACATGGAATAATAGAGTTGGAATGGACCTTGAAGGTCTTCTAGTCCCACCCCCTGTTCGCACAGGAGACCCTATACCATTGCAGATAAATGATGTCCAGTGTCTTTTTGAAAGCCTTCAGTGATGAAGCACCCACATATTTTGAAGGCAAGCTCTTCCATTGGTCGATTGCTCTCACCATTAGGGATTTTCTTCTTAGTTCTAGGTTGCTCCTCTCCTTGGTTGCTTCTAGGTTGCTTTTCTCCAGATTTAGCCATATTCCAGGTGTTCATGAGCATGAAAATTCTGGAACCCTACATCAGGATGTTAATTTTGCTTCATAATCCAGTCCACAGATGAGGAAATATTTCATGCTGAGACCATATTGCTTATATTGTTCATCTTCCATAATCTATGTCTAATCGGAGAAATGTTCAGTGTAGGGACACCTTCATTCAATTTCCATTCAGCAAGCAATCATTTTTTTTCCATATTTCCCCCTTGATTCTCATGAATAATGGCTCTCCCTTTTTTTTAGTTTAGTTGACTTATGGCTCTTTTGCCCAAGAAGAATTCCGGAGTACTAAGTTATCTTCACTTTATTGCATGGTCCCAAATGAGGACCATCAATATACTGGAGTTATACAACTTCTTCTCCAGTTTGGATGGATATGGATTGGAGTCTTCACTCTTGATACGAACAAAGGAGAACATTTCTTTCAGAAACTGCAGTCACTGCTTTCCCAGAATGGCATCTGCATAGCTTTCTCACAAAAAATTCCACAACTAGTAAACTTGGAAAACGTGTCCAAATTACTTCAAAGAAACCCAATGATTTGTAATAAGCTGATAGATCAGAAAGCAAATGCTTTTCTTGTCTATGGAAAATCATTCACAATTTTGTGGCTCAGAATTGTTGTGTTTCTATGTGATCTAGAGGATAAAGACAGCACACAATTGAAAAAGGTTTGGATCCTGATGGACCCCATTGATTTCATACTGACGTCATTTCAAACAGGTTTGGATCTCCAGTTGTTCCATGGGGCCCTTTCTTTTACAGTGCACTCAAGAGAAGTTCAAGGCTTCAAAGAATTTCTTCAAGTCGCCAAATCTTCAAGCCATGAAAATGGATTTTTTCAGGATGTTTGGGAGCAATTGTTTGACTGTTCATTTTCAAATAAAGAATTTTCCTTAACACATGATAAGACTTGTAGTGGAGAAGAGAAATTGGAGAATCTGCCTGCACCTGTATTTGAGTTGCAGATGACTGGCCAAAGTTACAGTATCTACAATGCAGTCTATGCAGTGGCATATTCTTTACATGAGACAATGAGATCAAGATCCCAACAAAAAAAGCTTCAAAGGTTTGAATTTCCAAACTTTCAGCCTTGGCAGGTAATATCTCAAAAGATGCTTTACCCATCTTCTGCTTTAGTGAATAGTCATTCTTATCTACAATTGATTGTGGCTGGTTTTCCCTAGCCTATACTCACATATCAGTAGAAAGCTGGTGGTATAAGAGGTGATTCTAAGTTACAGAATACAAGGGGATGAAAATAATCAATGGCTTTGCAAATTTCAATCTTGTCAATGAGATTTATATATCATCCTTGGTTCTATAAATAACTATTTCATAAAATGGGCCTTTCTTGTAAATTTATCCAGTCCAGTTCCAAGAAAAATTCAACAAAGAAGGATCTGAAGGCAGTGTTTCTTTGCTCTGTGCCCAACAGACTTTTCTTAAATGTGGATATTTCATTTTTCTTATTAGTATTTTGCAATTTAGTCAACAGGGTTTTGAGACTGTGGATTTAAAGACTATGACAATGGTATTTTATCAGTAGAGGTGCACTGTTTTCATGAAGTGATGCTAGTTTTTAGATTTAAAGTATACTACCAGGAAAATTGTTAAGCTTGGTGCTTGAAAGTACTTGTCATCATTGACTAACACAATGAAAGTGATTTCCATACCTCATTTATTGATCATTCATTGTGGGTTGACATTTTCTTCTTCTATATTTCAAGTTAGGAAGACATTTTTTCGTTTCCTGGAAAATGGGAGTAAAATAAACAGAGGTTTTAATCCTTTTATCCCTAATCCATTGTTTTCTTCTGGACTCCCATTTTCTTATCCTTCTTCAAGTAGCTCCACAAGTTTATTCAAGGGATTTCTTTTAATAACTCAGCTGGAGAAAAAGTCTTCTTTAAGGACAAAAGAGAAGGTCAAGGTGGTTTTGACGTTGTCAACATGATCACTTTTCCGAACAGATCTTTTCAGAGAGTTAAAGTTGGAAAGTTAAAGTCCAATGCTCCAGAAGTAAAGGAATTCATCATTGAGAGGAGCACAATCCTTTGGCACCCTGGATTTAACCAGGTAGGTAATCATGATTGTGTAAAAGCCTGCACAAATTGCATCTTGATCCATTATGATCTGTTGCTCTTTATGTGTTGAACCATACTGAAGATAGTCACTTTCCAAATTTGATTTCTGTTGTTGAAAGGAAAAATAATAGCATGTTCCATACAAATGTTCATTTACCAAATTGATAAACTGGTATTATGATTTAAAAACCAAGTTTACAAATTTATATATGGGTTACAATTCTATTTGAAATTACAAGAATTGTTTCATTTCCATAATATTGCCTTCATGCCAATTTATTTACTTGCTCTGCTCCTCTTCAACATTGTTTTAATGCACAGTATAAATCTAGCTAAATAAAATTCAGAAGCCTTTGGGAAGTAAACGATTATTTGCCTCCGTAAAGGAAAAAAAATAGAAACTATTTTAAAGATCTTCCTTTTCAAAACCATCTATATTTCTCACCAGGTTCTTCCACTTTCTCAGTGTAATGACCATTGTTCCCCTGGATTTTGGAAGAAAGGAGATGAAGAAAAGAAATTCTGTTGCTATGACTGTGTTCGATGTCCTGAAGGGAAGATTTCAAATCAAATGGGTAGGTTAGTCATTCTAGCAAGCTTTCANCATGAACACATCATTGGAATATATGCAGATTGTCTATATTGTAGTAAATTTGAAAATGTTAGAAGATTTGAAAATCTTCTTGAAAATTAGAAAGACTGCATTTCAAAGAATAATTGCCCTTCCCATTGTACTTTATTTTATGCCACTCTTAAATGATACAATTGAAGTAAAGCTGTATTTACATAGAAATAAAATTCAAAAATAGGGAATGCATAGATGACAAATTCCTTGACTTTTTTTCCAGATATGGATGACTGTTTTGAATGTTCAGAAGATCATTATCCAAATAAAGAGAAGAAAGAATGCATTGTGAAACCGGTGGTCTTTCTAACTATTGAAGAAACCCTAGGCATTGGTTTAGCTTCAACTGCTCTTTCTCTCTTCTTCCTCACAATGTGGGTACTTAGGACCTTTATTAAACACAGAGATACTGCCATTGTCAAAGCCAACAACCGGTCCCTCACGTACACCCTGCTTGTCTCTCTTCTGCTCTGTTTTCTATCCTCTTTGTTTTTTCTCAGCCATCCTGGCCAAGTGACCTGCCTCCTCCGACAATCAGCTTTTGGAATCACCTTCTCAGTGGCCATTTCTACTGTACTGGCCAAAACTATCACAGTGGTTGTGGCTTTCATGGCCACTAAACCAGGATCTCAGATGAGAAGATGGGTGGGGAAAAGATTGGCCTTTTCTACTGTCTTTTCCTGTTCTCTCTTTCAAGTATGTATTTGTATGCTTTGGTTGTCGATATCACCCCCATTTCCTGAGTTAGACATGCACTCAGAGTCCCAAGAAATGATTTTACAATGCAATGAGGGGTCAGCTTTCTTCTTCTACTGTGTCTTGGGCTACATGGGTATCTTGGCTATTGCCAGCTTTATTGTGGCTTTTCTTGCCCGTAAATTACCTGACAGTTTTAATGAAGCCAAGTTCATCACCTTCAGCATGTTGGCCTTTTGCAGTGTGTGGATCTCCTTCTTTCCAGCCTATCTGAGTACAAAAGGAAAAGCCATGGTAGCTGTGGAGGTCTTCTCCATCTTGTCCTCCAGCGCTGCATTACTGGGATGCATATTTTTTCCAAAATGCTACATTGTAGTTTTCAGGCCTCAGCTAAACCACAGGGAGCAACTCATAAACAGGACTTAGTATTTCATACAATTTTTTTGGTATAAGAAATTGCTGACAAAGAAGATTAGAAAACCTATTTGCTGTACATGAAACATATAGAAGCAATTATTTCTGTGAAAGGAAGATTTTTGGAAAATTATTATGATTATTGAGATTTATTACGGTTACCCATTCAAAAAGAAGTGTTCATGCTGCTTTATTTTCAAACATTTTCAAAGATTGTTTAACCTAACCCCTCTCACCTTTTCAACACATTACCTCAAGAAAACTTTCAGAATCTAGATTTCTTGGGTACTGTTAGGAGATTTCAGATATTGACTTACAGGATATCCAAAGTCTGCAAACTCTTTCATGGTTTTTATACTTTATATTCATAAACCACTGTATAAATATAGTAAAAAGCTGATTAACATTTAATGAACATGTATTTAGTACAGTATCATGGAATAACAGTTTTGGATTGTTTAGGGTTCTTTGAAATGTAAAATTTAAAAAGTTTCTGAATCCTGTACATTTAATTGAACTTGTGGGACACAAGCAGTTATTCTCTATCCATTGTTCTATTTTCACTGTGACCTATTATCAGATTTTAAAAATATTGGAAATTTAGTGAAATGACGTGATGTGAAATGTATTCTTTCTTCTCATCTTTTATTTAAAGCATATACTTACCAATGATGATATAAAATTTAATTTTGTTTGGTATGCATTGTACCTATGTATTTTTTCCATGAAATTGTGGAAAACCAAATTTTGGCTATATGGTGGCGTAGTGTTCTATTTGATGCTTTTAGAAGAGGAACCCTGAAAGCTGGAGTTTAGTCTGAAGCAACAGCTCACCCCCTCCACTTCCATGGGCTCTGGCTCAGTTGCCTTCACTGAAATATAGAGGTCCCATACAGCTGCCATCGCCACACAGGCCCCACTACCACCAAAGGAGGGTGAGACTGGAAGCAGGAAAAGTGAAGGTGGAAGATACGTTGATCAGTTGTGCAGAGTGCCACTCGAGGGAGTGGCTGTGCCCATCAGACTGTGGAGGCAACTTGAGAAAATATCTTTCGGCCATCCTCAGGAGATGGGTTTTGATGTTATCCCATCTCACGGTTGCTGGAAAATAGGAAAAGGTATCTTTGTACTTTAGGTGAACCTGATAATTGTTAATGTTCTCAATTCACACAATATATTGAACTGTAAATTGAGCAAATAGAATTTCCAGCAGCAGGTTAAGATACACATTTACACATTCAGACAGCAAAGCTGTTATTTTTGCAGTTTGTTAGCCCTACACATAGCATAATATGTGTAGGTATTTAATTAACTTCATTAAGTGCATTACATCAACATAGTCACCATTTGCAATCACGTGACATCCCCTCCATCTCGTGTCTATGGTAGCAACAAGAGAACCGGTTGTTAAATTATTTGAATCTCACCATTGCCCTCATACTACACCTGAGCTACAGATATTTGCCATATAATACTTTATTTGTGGAGTCCTTGGTGCTGTCTGAGCTTGGTTGTTTCCTTGCAGATGTTTCATTACCCAATTAGGTAACATCATCAGTACTTAACTGTGCTTTTTTTTCCTGTGCTTAACAGAGAAATTGTGGACACTGCTGGGAAAGAGACTATTATGTCACACCAATGCAAGGCCAGCTCCATACCTGAAATCATTTATACAATATTATGTTATGCTTCTAGACTCAAATAAAAAGATAGATATTGTCATGGATAAATCTTTTCTTTCTCTTTTTTGAAGCTGAATTTGAATTCCTTCAATCTCACCTGACTCTCAAATCATTGTGAGAGGCAAAAGTGAATTATTTTTTTTATAGAAGTGCTTATATTTCTTTGAATGAATAAAGAGAGGCATATAACAAATTGTGAAAAATGAATAGAACCTAGTTAAAATCCATTAATTTCATTCAAGCCCTGATATAACTGGTATTAAAGTATTAAAAGCACAATACCAACACAAACAAGGACAAAAAGATATCTATTGCACCTATTCTTCTTTTTCTGTCTGCACCACCCGGTCTATTGCCATCCACAGCACCTGGTCTACTGCCGTCTGCAGGCCCTGGTCTACTGTCGTTCACACCACCCAATCTACTGTGCTGCAGCATTCCACCACCCCCACCAACAGCTCCACAGCCATGTGGCTACTGTTTGCTGGTCCATCACACTGGTGTTCTGCTTCCTTCAGCAAATAGGGCTGCCTAGATGGTTCACAGTAAGCTCTACTCTTCTCTCCCTGGCTGACTCTCCTCCCTGCTCCACTGTCTCACCAGCACATCTGTTTCTCCTCTCTGCCAGTCATTATGCTGCCCTCAGTCGGCTTTCCTCTCCGCCCCACAGCTGATTCTCCTCTCTGCTCCACAGATCTTTCTTCTCCTTTTCTCTTCTCCAGTCTTTTTTTATTTTTCTGACTTATCTTTCCTTCTCCACCTCTCTTCCTACCATTTTGTTTTAGTTTAAGATAACTTATTTTAATAGCAACTTCTCTTCCCACAATGTAATCATGCTTTCTCTGTGGCTGCCATCTTGAAAAAAAAGAAATAAAGACTTCTTAAACTCATAGTCAATTCTTAGTAAAATGGTCACATCTATGTGGTGGTTTTTCATTAATATCAGAGAAAGAGAAAGAGAGGACTTCCGGTTTGTGTCGTGGCTATACAGCCAAAGGAAAGCGGGGCTCTCCATAGCTGATTTCACCCTGCCAGAGGGTCCTAAATGGGCCTAAAGTTGCCCTGGATAGGTGATGAAGCAGGAGGGGACCTTTGTAGATCATGGAAAGATGGCAGTAGATCTGTTTGATCTGAGGAAAGCCCTTCAAACCAGCAGGGGAGAGACTAGCTGCATTCTTGTAGCTAGCCCAAGCTACTGACAACCGAACAAAGAAAGCACTTACCAGCAGATTTTAAACAGTGTGCTTGGAACTGGGTGAGAATATTGATCCTTTCTCTACTATTTTGATACTTGACTCCATGGAAAAGACAAATTGCCAAAAAACAAGAAAGTCCCCAAATGCAAGAAGGAACGGGATTTTTGCCCCACCCTTCCAGAGAAATGAAAGCGGCAGTCCAATTCTTTTTAGGGGTCAAAAATAGAGAAGAACATAATACTAAAGTGGAAGTAATACAAAGACATAGCTTTGATAAACTTGAGAAAACTGTTAAGATTTTTTTTTTTTGAAAGAATATTGGGGTGAAATTCAAGAAATTTTAAAGTTGAAATAATTGTTTGCTTTAAGTGCTGGAAAATGGATATCTAAGGAGATCTAGTGGTGGCATAGAGGTACAGCACCAAATTTGTTGTGTCTAGAATGGACTTGGCACAAAGCCCAGACACAGATAACTACTTAGCCTCTTTGATGTTTAGTGAAACTCCTAGTTCACAGAGAGCAGCTGGCAATGGAGAAAAACCACCTGCCTGAGCAAGGGGTTGGATTCGATGACCTCCAAGGTCCCTTCCATCTTTGTCCCTCTTGTCCCACAAAACCAGGGTCAACTGCAAAGACATGGATAGGGAAAAAATGGACCCTTTCCATTGTCTTTTCCTGCTCTGTCATTCAAACAGGCATCTGTCTGGTGTGACTGGCAAACTCTCCCCCTTTCATTGATTTAGTTATGAACTTGTTTATTGAAGAAACTATTGGACAATGTAATAAAGAATCTTCAACAAAATTTTATCTTGTCCTAGGCTACACAGGCTTCCTAGCCATTGGAAGATTCATTGTTGCTTTCCATGCTTTAAAATTATTTGACTGTTTCAGTGAAGCCAAGTTTATTGCTTTCAGCATGCTCATGTTTTGCAGTGTTTGGATATTCTTTGTTCCCACCTACATGAGCTCCAAGGGGAAAGACAAGGTGGCTATGAAGGTCTTTTCCATTTTGACTTGCAGTACCAGGTTACTGGCTTGTATTTTTCTACCTAAATCCTAAATCATTGTGCTGAAATCCCATCTGAATGACAAGAAGTAATTAATTAGGAGAAAATAATAAAGTTGTTATGCTTCTATACAGTTATTTGGTAACCCATTCATCTTTGTATTTATTTCCTTCATTTATTCTCCAGCTTTCTACTCAAGGCAGATAACAACATTTTAAAAACTCAAAGTAAATGGTTAAAAAACAAGGATGATGGTTACATATTAAATCAGTGTATAACTCATTTCATATGCATTACAGAAACCTAACTTTGCTTATCCCTGATCTGGAAAATTGGCCCCCAAATCATGTGTCTGTATTAAATTGACTGTTAAAATGAAAATGAAAGGCAGAATGGCAAATGAACCTGATCTTCTAAATTAGTTTAGATAAATCATAACAAATTAATGATCTTCATCTACAAAATAGACAGATCTGATTTGCACATCTGTAGTGGGAACTCTAGGAACAAAGATATTATTATATCTTTTCTTATAGATAATCATTAAGTTACTATTATTGTTTCCCACAGCATTTCTTCTAGGTGAGGCAAATATCCTTCAACTCAAAGTGATATGTGTTCATCACTTTGCTGCCGTATGACATGCAGATTAACCAACCATTATTTGTGTGTGTGTGTGTGTGTGTTTGAATGTAAAATCTGATTTTTAAAATTACTTATGGGACAATTAATTATTTTTTTAAGCCAGTTATAGGGAAAATGTTTAGTAGATAATTAAGTTTTCCTTGAAGAGTCCAAATTACTGTAATGTGTTTATCTGCTTAAAGCTACAGAGATTTTCCAGAAAGCAGTGAAAATTAGAAAACATAGATGAAAGAAGTTATAAACTTATCTTGGTTCCATGAAGAACTTGGGATGGTGAGAAGTGTGAAGAGTTAAACAGTGCTATTGGGTTCATTTTCTCCAGCATCTGATCTTTCCTTGATCAAACCAATTTCAGATTTGAGTTGCGGAAATCTCAGTCATTATTCAAGTACATGTCTGTATTTCCATGGAAGTTAAAGGTTAAATTGATGCTTTTTTCTTAGGAGGTGTGTTGGGAAAATCTAGTATGTTAAGTCAGATCC